TCGGCCCCCAGGAATCTTAATTCAGTCCTTGAAGGAAGATCATAAATTTCGTGGGAACCGATACAAAGATCAAAAAATTGATTAAAGAGCGATGAAAGCGACGAAATGAAATGACTGAATGAAAGACTAGGAAATGCGAAGGTTCGAGTAAAGGTCGCGACACGCTACGGGCAATATTTAAGAATCGCAAGTGTTTTGTCGTGAGAAAGCAAGCCGGGGGGAAAACGATATGTCAAACGGAGTTCTCGGAGGTCACGGATGATGAATACTGAAAAAGAAGCATTATTACCAAATGTCACTGCTTTCTCCATCAACTTCAACGAGCCTTGACGATCAAACAAAGAACTTTCCCTTCGTTCTTTAGGCTGCTTGTAAAACGAATCGTTCTGTCTGATTAATGAAGTACTTGAAATTCAATATGGAGAACAGTTGCAAAGGAACCTCACGAACAATGTTCCGACTGGTAGTAAGCATGCCATTATGCATCCATCAATGAACTTATTAATTTCAAAGGAAACTGCTACATTGAAAACTTTGAAATGATACAAATTGCAAATTAAACACGACGAGAAAGGTACCAACACACGCTATATTAAATATTTTCAAATAACGTGTACACAAATTAAACTTTATGAAAAAGGTAGAAATTCATCAGACCGTAAAATTTATTTACAGAACCCAGCATTTTTCTACGAATGGAAGCACAACTAAATTGTAATATGTAATTTTCACACGTGGTACCAGGCTTATTTATACGAGAAATTATATAACAAACTAGCATAAAACGATATTAAAAAAGGAATAAATCTTTCAAACCATGAAATTAATTTTATTTATCCATTGAATAAAGGAGAACTCCTGACTGTAACTAATGTTTCTTATATTCGAATCATGACCCGTGCCATAAGTGTGACTTGGTGTTACAAAACAAGAGGGTTAACGGTGCATAATTTTCAACAAAAAGCTGCAACTTTTATAACTGTTTCCTAGCAACGGGACTGTTTGTTGTTCTTTGTTCAGTTTCAACAAACGGCGTAGAGAATGCGAGGCAGGTTTTGACCTGGCGTCGCCTTTAATTAACGCTACCTTTTGACAAAAGACACGCATTATCGCGACAAAAGGATTTAACTTTTTACTTTTAGCAAAGCGCATCCTTCCTGTTAGTCGTAAAAATGATGAAAAATTAAGTATATATATTAAAAATCTGACGGAAGTGTCTTGGTTTATCGTTGAAGTTAAACGGTAACAAACGTCATGTCGACTTTACGAATGGAAAGAGGAAAAGTATATAAGCGGTGAAAATTCGACTTTTCTTTCGTTCCCTCGTAAAACGTGTCTACACGGGGTTGTTTGATGGCCTAGTAAACGCCGAATGTGCCAGAGAAATTTATTTCGACCACGGGGTAGGATGAATTGTAGCGTCAGCGAGAAACTCATTCCCCTTTTTCTCCCTCCAAGAATTTGTGTTTCGTATTTTCACGCTTTTCCACGTTCGCTTCTTTACGGTAATTTACGCCGACGTCCGTGGAAAAAACTGGCCGAGATTGAATTTTGATTATGATTCAGATCGGTCAGCGGAAATGTAAAAACAACGGGTAAAATGGTGAATTTGATTGTTACGCTTTTACAATTTAAATCCGTATATCAATATTGAAAAAAGAAAGGCTACGATTGATGTATTTAATGAAATTGTTTTCTAATGAACGAACAAACAAGAGCGTTTTAATTTCTACCGTACAGGATTTAAAAAAAGAAAGGAAAATCTACTAGAATAAATGTTTTTTAGCGTACGCCTTTTTGTTCACTACGGAAAATAACAGGGTCAGCTAGCGAGAAATGGAACGATCTTTTTCTGGAATTTAACTGAAACATGTTTCGCAGAAACTACTGTCCAGTCCGGATATAAGCGAATTGCTTTCCCTCTATTTCACGGTTCCTTGTTTCAATCTATTCTCTGTTAAATGCGGCTTTCGAGAAGATAGACCGTGAAAAACCAATCTCTGTTTTCATTTTTCACCTAAACAATAATACTTCAATTTAGAATTTTTTTAAATTCCATATCAAAGACTTGAAATTCTCTTTTACTTTTCTGGGCAATTACTAAATACCTATAGATTATATTTCAATGTTAATATTTGTAATTTCTAATTAGTACATTTAAAAAATTCTCAAAATAGGGTGTGCTATTCTGGCCACGGTTAATCACGTCGAAACGCACTGGCAATCTCGAATAATCGCTTTTCCGGGGTGTTCGTGCCGCGGCAATAATGGAAAGGGTCCGCGGGGCGAGCGAATCGTCGCGCGATAATTAACAGAGGACACTAATTACGAAAGAGGCGTGGAGTTCGCTGCTGCGTACCGAGCACGATTGATTTTATACCCAACTAAACCCGTTGCCTAACCACCCCCGCGAATCCCTTCCCAAGTCTCCTTTTTCCACCCTGACTACGTTTAATCTCTCCTTCGTCGCGGAGAAACGTCGGAGACAGAATTTATTACCGTCTAGAATATTCTCGCTTTTCAATAACGGCATATTAATTTTCGGCCCGGCGAAACGTTACGCGACCTTCTTAATTACTAAACGATTTCACGAACCCTCGCTAATACGATTCTGACAGAGGGGGTGGTTTTCCATTTTCAAGATATTTCTATCATCCGACATATTTGAAGCTCCTCTAAATTTTTAAACTCATTCAGAATGATTCGAAAGGACCGAGGATATTCAAACGCACCCTTTTCTCGGACCTTTCACCCTAGAGAGAAGGGTGGTTTTGGTGTCGAAATCGGGCTGTCGTGTTTGTAAGAGCCTCGAAAGCTTTATTTGATGAGGGAGATTTTCCAATTAAACCGTGATTAATCCACGGGACGAATGCTTAGGGCCGAATGTTTACGGCAGCAGGGAAATAAGTTGCTGGTACACAGCCTCGAAAATCGATACACCCCTCTCTCGTGTGACGTACGAGGGGCGGGGGTGCGCGAGGGTGCAGAGGAATCGACGATAATCCGATTTCGATGGACGGTACGAGTTGGATAATTCGTTTGCCTCTCCATCCTTTTCGTTTCGCTCTATCATCGACGGGACTATTGAATTCTGTTTTCCTCGATTCGCGTGACTCGAATCGCGAAAAAATTCAAACTACCCGCTATCCACGGGGAAATAGCGATTGCTATCGTTCGAAAAACGATTTCGCGTAACGATAGCGGAGAGATAGCAAGGGGGAAACGTTTGTCGATAAAATTGTTTGGTCGAACGGTTATTTGTATCGCTGCAATTTTTAACGATTACAAACTATGGCTAATTAAACGGAACGACGATTAATCGACTCGCGTGGTTGTTATTTAAACAGCCTCGATGGTTACGATTCTTTTTTCGTATTTTTCGTTCTTTTTTTAGGGATACAAATGGAATGACGCGGAGGTAGATCGTTTCCAGAAATAACTTTATTGTCCGATGGAAATATACGGACGTTTTTGAAGCTGGATCAGATGAAAGTATAATGAGATTAAGTATTCAGTGTGTTTTTTTCTTATTCCCTGATGTAGAGAATAATACGTCAGAGTTGTTTCAATAATCACAGAGAGATAATAAATGGAGTTTTCAATTCCTGCAATTAATTCATGCTAAATTAAATTTGGCAATGGATGCAGTTCATTTTCATTAATTTATAATTTTGATTACTTGTAGCCAAAATATAGTTTGTCGGTGGGTAAATTTAATAATTGCCATAAACAAAAGCAGTGTCGTGGGAATAACCGTGTAAACATGAAAGTTTACACTTTGCTTTTTTACGGTTAATTAATCTATCAACTCGTTGGAATTAATTAATTCGTTAAACGCGACTCGTTCGCTGATGCGTCACGCCATCTCGAGTAGTGTCTGCGACCTTGCTATTATTACCGCGCTATTTTCGTAACCAATACCCAGCCGATCCCGTGTAGTAATTAAATAAACGAAATCCGTGCTACGTTTTGACCCACTAAACTAAACCCTCGCCTAATTCGTTGATCCTCGAGATAGCGAATCGTTGACGCGTCAAGCGAAAATGGAAATCGCCGTTTTCACGATAGAAGAAAAAAACGATGCTCGCGACCTTAATGTAATTTGTCGTAATAGGCGTGTTTGTTCAATGTAACAACTGAGTCACTCTAGTTTGCTCCAGATCGTTCTAGCCGCGTTGACCTTGGAGAAAAAACGAAACGACTCGTGACGTCCTCGAGGACACAAATGCAACTCTCAAATTGCAAATTGAAAATAACAATAAACTTTGAAAATTCTCGAACCGGTTGATTAAGAATGTTTCAACTCTATATCTCAAACAAGAAAAATAACGAGAAATAAGTTTCAAGTCGATATGTCAAATAGAGCTATTAATTATTCGAACAATTTGCGTCGCGATACGACACAGAAAAGAAAACTAATTAATTATTTTACGATTGACAAATTCTTATTTCGCAGTTGTAAAGAAAAATACACGCTGATTATAACGCTCTTGAAAGGTAACTAAACATTAAATCTACAGGAAAAAATTGATGAATAATTAATCATTTGTCATGATCTGAAACTTTGACGCGGATGTACACACAAATCGAAAGTGTTTGCAATCACATTGTTACCGTTTCGAGACGTGATCTAACGATTAGAAAATTTTGAATCGTTCCGCGTTTCCCGCCCCGTCGCGCGCACCTCGTTAATCGACGATATCGATCGATCGAGCGCTGCGATCGTCGAAGCGACCAATCAGCTGCGGTCATTTTGTCGCGGCGCGGGAACAATGTTGAACCGGTCGGTTCGCGTGACACGTTGTAGAATTGGTATCGCGACGCGTTGTTCGCATAAATTATCCATCGTGCGACACGCGTGTACATGAATGATAAAGAAACAGGTTCCGATTTGTGTGCGCGTACGAGCGCGTATCGTTAAGCGTAGATTACGGTTCCGTGAACGATGGCAGGGAAACATTTAGATCGTCGTAGAAACAAATAGAGATTCCAATACTCACGTGTCTCTGTCAGGCCAGCTAACACACTATTCTGGTTGCTCCGTTGAAGCACGAAAGCACCAAGTGACGTCAGTGGAAGATCACTAGTTCCGTAATACCCTTGGAATATCCTATTGGACGTTTATCCACTATTCCTCTCGGTAATTTCCTGCAAGGTACGTCACCGAATATTTCCTTTATTTATCACAGCCGTCTTTTAATAGACGGTAACTCCGAAAAAGAAAAAAAATTAAGGAACAAGCTGTCACTCGCGTCTAAGTATATGGTAATTCTCACTCCGACTCGCGTTACGTCGAAAATAGGTTATAGCGGCTCCGTTTCGCCAACGCGTTACGTATAAAAGTAAAAAAAGAAAGACGCGAACGCCGGGAAGGTAAAGATACAACTCTGTCTTTTTTTATTTTTTTTTATTTTTCCTACGTCCCGTTGCTACTTGTCGCAACGACGTTCGCAGTGTGTCGTGTCAGTTCTCCAACGAAGCACCGGACGAAAGAAACTCTCGTCCTTTGCGCGCACGCGTTACCGCACACTCTCACAAGATATATATATATGTATATATTTAATACATTTATATATATACATATATTATATGTAACACGCGTATCCCCGTAATGTCCTTCGTTCCGTGAGCAAACGTTTATATTCCTAGTCCACGTTTCTATCGTCACACGAACCGTCACTCGCGAGTGCCGCTGCGAGACTGAAACGCGGGGAAACATGTGTGGCCTCTTACATATCGCGCCGCATTAGGGGGGACAACTTCGGTAGTGGGGGATGTCACCGAGGCGAGATGGTGGGGGTACATCCCACTATAGTCGAGGACGGGAGGGGAAAACTGGCAAGGACGCGAGACCTCGACGCGACGTGTCGCGAAGTGCTCTATACGTGTATATCTACTACTTTTTCCTCTAGCACTTGTGCTCTTGCTTTCCACCGACGACGCTGATAACGGAAGTTATCGGAAGCCACTTCTCGCGAGACCCGGAATTGGTCCAGAGAGAAAAAAGACCGATCGATCTCGATGTTCTCGCGAGACGACTGCGGACGTTGGAAATAGAGCACCGCGAAAGCTTATTCTTTTTTGGAGTTACGTATGAAAAGTATCTTGCGTATTAATGTTTATTGAATGAAGTGGAAATTGGGCGATAATCATCAATAATGAGGTCACTGGGTCATTGGTTAACCGATAATGCAAAATATGATTGAATAATTGAAAGGAAAAATAATTATAATTATAGCGCGTCTGATTATGCATGAGTATTTCTACTGTGAAGTTAACGCGTTAACCCTCGGCGGACCGCGGAGAGAACCCCAATATTAATTTAATTCTTTATTCCATATTATTTTCATTTTCAATGAAACTCTTTCGTTCGAAAGTTATAATTAATACCCCTATATATATTTTGTAAATCTGGATCTCGATTGACCCAGACTTCGCCGTTCAAGGGCAGCCGTTGCAGTAGAAACAGTCAATGTTTAGTACGGCATACTACCAGTTTGCTCTATATCGAATGGCAGACTACGAAATATAGAAAGTCTGGTCTATTTATATTAAAAATATTAATGAAAGCTTTTCGTAGTAATTATTTTCAAATCGTAAGTTTCAAATTGATACGACAAAAGTGCTAATTTAAAGTACTTTTATGTCATCAAATCAGCTGCTTCGAAATCGCTCGTTTGATACGCAACAATCATTATGCTTTCAAGCACAATTACGTCCGTGGTAAATTGAAGAAACGAAACGATCGTATTCTGAACAAATGCAATTATAGTGTGCCGTGTTACACACGTCCGTTTTCACTGTGCCAGTAAACGTGTTAATCGCGTCTCGATCGGGTAACCTTGATTCACTTACCCGAGCTAGCAGCCAAACGCGCAGGAAGTCTGCTATCTAAAGACGATCGCGACAAATCGTAAGGTAGATTCGTATCGCGACTTCCGCGATGAGGTAAGACCGACGAGGCGTAATCGCGATCCCAGAACGCTCGGCCATCATTCGGGGAGGAATTCATGATTTTTTCTTCCATGTAACAGAGGGGAGGAGTTTCAATTACGATGGGAACAGTTGCCAATCGTTCTGTCGGATTCGATTCGCGGGCTGAAATTATTCGATCAAACTTTCATTCGACGCGTCACTCTTCGAACCGCGATGTTTTATTTCCAATTGCTGCTTTTTGTTCGAACTTGCGATTCCCCGGCAGCGAGGTATCGTTGTTTTGCTCATTAATTATTCAGATTCGCGTTTTCAAGCTCGGTTCGATCAGTAATCTCGGGTAATTTCGATGTTCACCAGTTTTTTCATTTCCGTTGGGGAAGACTGACATCTTTCCAGTGGTATGTATCGATAATAAATGAATCGTTACTTTTTACAAATAAACGATGCAAGTCTAAAGTATTTTCGAAACTTTTTCAGCTTGAAACCTTTCGGGTTTCTCTGATAAATTTGGTGGTCCTGTCAGAGGGAATATCGTTGAAATGAAAACACGCGTTGCGTAACGCGGCAAAGAGCGGTATCGGCAAAAAATGATTATATAAACTTATAATAAATACGTCGAAGTTGCGTGGAATAGAAATGAAAAAAGAAAGTGGACGCATCGGTGGTGTTCCAACAGCGTATCATTCATTTGCAATATAAACGATGCAGAAAATATATTCTTCGAGCAGCGGGATGTTTTCCTCTTGGGAGGGTATTTTTATCGAATCGCACGGTCACCGCGTGTCTTTTCAACGTCCCCCCGGTGCCGTATTTGCCATTCAAGGTATCAAATAAAAAGTGTGCCACGCGTATAAAAGGGAGCACGCATGGGCGCACACTCGGTGGTGCAGGGTCCGAGTGCATACATGGAAAGTTCAACAGGAAGGAAACGCATACACCCTTACCCTGATTTTCTTTCACGCGTGCCTTTTAAAGGTCCCGTGAAAAAGCGATAAATAAAGGCCAAAGCGAGTTTTGGTATTCGTCAACTCGCTTCTGGATCGTTTAACGACTCGCCTTGGCGTTATCTGTAGTTTCTCTTGTCTCGTACACCCCTTTCCACCCCCATCTTTTCGTCGTTCGTTGAAAACTTTCCTCCTCGTTTTTCCCAACCCTTCTGTCCGCGATTCATTCAATTCGCTTTCGTTTCTTCTCGACGGTATCGATCGCTTTTTTCTTCGTCTTTTCTTTCCGTTCGAAAGGGTTAAAAGCTATCCAGTAGTAACAAAGCATGAAAATTGCTCCGATTTCTAAGCACGTGTCGTTACGGTATAAATATATACGCGTACCGAGAAGCCAGTCCTGTCTTTTATAGCTTCATATTTTAACCTTTCCATGCCCCTTGGCTACCCTTTTGGCCCCTCCCTTCCGGTTTCCAACGGGTCTGCGGCTGCGGACGCTTCAGCGTTCCCGCTCTCGCTTCGTTTTCCTTTCCTTTGTTGCATCAGTAAACAGGTTAGCCAATTTTTCTGGCGCAGGAAGCAGGAACGTGAGAGAAGCACTGGAATAAGAATGTGCACGGCTCGGTGGCGGGGATAGGTGTGCAACTTTAACGTGTAATACAAACGAGCGTGCAGCAGGTACGGTACACACAATACACACGCGTCTACGTGTCGCGCATATTGTTCGAGCAGGTTTTTCGACCGAGATTAAGAGCAAGCACGTAGCTCTGTACACGAGTCCCGGCTAAGTATGCCAAGGATTACCGGTATGAACTTTTACGTACTGCCTACGAATGCAATGATCCGATAAGACGTGCCGAGAGCAGGAAACCGGTGTTACGCCGTTATGATATGTCTGACAAATTAACGAGGATAGTTCGAAGCTCGTTATCATAGTTTGAGAACGAACACGCTTTTCCTGTATCGATGATTTGCACTGCTTCGAGTAATCAGGGAGAGACGATCACGATTTTCGGATTTCGATTTAGAGACACTTTCTGATAGAAGAAACGGAAATTTCAGAGTGCAAAAAATTATTGATTTTTTAGTACTAATTTGTAGATTGCTGTCTGGCAAAGTTTTCAGAAAACTAGAAGAAGTGTAACGAATAAGATAAATAAATCATTTTTTTCCCTCCACCTTCTTTACGGCCGCGTTAATTGCTCGTTATTACTCGAGCAAACATTTGTTGGAAGCAGAAAAATTCGTTTCCTTGTTGCAACGTCGGGACGCGTGAAAGAAACGGAAACAATTTGTTCCCGGTTGCAGCGATTATTTTCACCTTGAACACGTCGGGCTTAATTAATCGGCGAACCTTTTGTTTCCGTTTGACGCGCGATCACGCAGAAACGAACAACGAATCCGTTAATTAAGAAACGAAGATTAAATACCAGGTGAATCATCGCGAATCGTTAAATCGTTCCTCAGACGAAACAATAACAAACGAGGAATGTCGCGTTTACGAGTACATTACAATTACATCGAGAAAATTAATCGATCAGAGACGTCCACGTGAAATTTACGTGAGAGGCTTGAAATCGTCGATAAATCGTGATTTGATTAATCGAGACTCAGGCGTTATTGAATAGTCTAATAACTAACGATCAAAATCATTTATCCGACTTCGAAAAGGAAGAGGATACTCAATTCGATCAGTATATTTTTTTTTTTTCTATTTATTACCAACTTCAAATAATGATGTTTTCATGTTATTTGAAAAACATATTATTTCTTATTTCGTTTGAACTACTTATAATTATATCGCTATTCAAATAAAAAATGACCCAGTCTGGATTAACAATTACCGATAACCGAACCGATAATCGCGTTTGTACTTTACCTAAGTCGAGTTTCTATTTTTCCACGGTCGTGCTTCGTGGTCATGGTCAACCGGCTGAAAACACGTGTATTTGGTATTCGTTTGCTCGCTTGTCATTAATTTACGTAACATAGCCTGACGTTCTTTCAGCACAATTTTCCGAGCTGACCTCGCGAATAAAATTTCACGAATTGTAACAATTGAGGTATCCGTAACGCGAACAGTACCCTTGAATATAGGAAAATTTTTTCTACTGCGCTTCTCAATGATCCATTCAATTCCAAAAATGGATCTTTATGAATCTTACAGAGGAAGACGTTGAATGATTCTCAATGGTCATCACGTGAACAGATCGATCGTGAACGATATCGAGGAAAGGTTGTTCGAAAACAAGCAACGTATCTCGAGATATC